AGTTCACAGTTCAGAGGGCTTTACCTGGTAGGACGGGGATGTTTTATTTTCATTAGTATATTTTTGGGTGATGTGTTCACCTTCCCTATACTCGGCACTCCTATCGTGTGTTTGTATTGTTTGTTGTCGTAACGTTCTACGACCCCGTGGCCCTTCACAGCTCATCGGATTCCTCCTCCAGTTGTAAATAGTCTGATTTCTGAAAAATCCGCTCTTGTGAGTGCAACCACCGATCTCCCGCATCCCTTACAGAGAGTGTCTGGAGTGTGTAGATCCGATTAAATGTTTGGCGCTGCCCTTCCTGGCGTGGAATCAGCCCGAGGGGGGGGGGGGGGGGCGGGGAGAACGATGACGAGCGTGTCTCCTCGTTTTCTGAGCGCTCGTCCTGGCACAGGTAGAGAGGAGCAGATGTTTGCCAATTTTGAACAAAGCGTACATTTTTTTTTAATGAGAACTGCGAGAGATTTTCGCTGCGTCACAATCGGTGATGGATGAGCTCAGCTGGGTCATTTATCAACGCGTCGGACCGCGTTGGGTTCGACTTTCAAAAGAAAAATAATTTCAGCCTTACCAGAGGGGGGTCTAGTGTACGGTGGGATATCACAACATTCACCAACGCAAGTACATTTTTTTCCGTTTTTTTCCCCTTAACTTTATCGACTTAATAATTATTTGAATATGTAAAACTACTAAAGCAATGTCCAGTACTGTATAGTGATTTTGTCAATCCACTGCTGGATGATGACCTACACATGCCATGTGGATCACGGTGGTTGTTTGACCTGACTTAACCATGCTGGTGATTGCGGGTGAGTTGGTGAGCGGTAGTGTAGTGGTTAGTGCGCTGCACTACGAACCCGGCCCGCCCGAGTTCAATTCCCGCTCACGCAAACACCAGTGACAATTATCTCAACCGGTTACGGGCCATCCCTTGGTCGACTCAGACTCAAATGAGCACAGTACCTAGTACGGCGTGTAAACATCGCAAACTAATGGAGACAAAGGCGGTCAGGCGTGGTGCTGACCTTCCCCAAAAGTCTGTTCAGGCTGTATCGGTGATGTTTGTCTTTCTTGGTCGAGTGTGGCCCAGGACCAGCTCAGTCACTCGCCACTGATGTTCGGCATGGACAGAAATCTAACTCGGGTCACGGGGTTCATAGCGTAAACCACCGTGCCACCGCTCCATAAAAATGATATTTTTTTTTTACAGATTCATTTATTTTTACATTACTTGGTTGAAATTTCAGAGACATGTACGTCTATTGACATTGGGCGTTGTGTAGACCATGTGTGCAGTAAGTTCCCTAGGGTCCCAGGGCCTTCTGCCATCGTCTTCCAGTCAATGCGTGCCTGTTTGTGCGTGCGTACGCGTGCGTGCGCGTGTCTGTGCGTGCGTGCGCGCGTTTGTCCTTTCCATTATTTTCGTGGTTTTCACCCACCTTCCCATGCTCAGCTGTTTTTTTTTGCTCCCTTTAATTATCGCTGCCCGATCAGGCAAGCCACACACACCACCGACTCTACCCCCCCCCCACCTCCCACATCGCCGCCACGTCTCTCGATCGTCTCCTGGGTGGCAGACGTATAATGAATTCCGCAGGCGCTAAAAAAAAATAACCCATCCACCCGTGTGCCCAGCTTTCCTACAAACGCGACCGCCACCCTCCCACGCTGTGCCCAGAGCCTTGTGTCAGCTGAGAGACAGGTGCAATTTGGGGGTAGCCGCCTTGGTGTCTTCGGGGACCATGGTGTCATTGTATATTGACTGGCGTGGTGCGTGACCGCCAAGATTGAGGCCCACTGTTCTTTATTCTGGCCTCAAGGCGGCCGGTTGCACCTGTGCTGCTGCTTGCTGCCGCCACTGCTTCTGCAGCCTGCCAGCAATTGGCTTGCCGGCAGCCGGTTTGTCTGTTGGTTGGCCTGTGCGTCAGTCAGTTTGTGTGTCAGGCAATTGGTCGGTTGGTCTGTCTGCCTTAGTCAGTCTGCGCTAGACAGTTGCACCGACGCTCAGTGATGGAACCCTGTGGTTAAGGCACGCGACGGAAATTAAAACCAACAAATCGCATCGTTCAGACGAGGTACACGGTCACGTTTCCTCGTTCGATTATATAAACTGATGAATAAAGGGGTCATTGCTCAACATTTCATTAAGATGATTCACAGCCTCTTGTCTGTCCACTGCTAGATGAAGGCGTCTTCACGCTGTGACGGGCGCCAGCTGCTGTGCCACCGCGCCCGCCAAAACATGAGCCATTCATGTTCGTAAAAATGTTGTTGCGAGCCAAAATAGTCAGAGTGATTTCCAGTGCTAATGAGCATTGAGGGCGGTGCTCATCTCCTGGTTACAGTGCAGAGCCAGTCGTGGATATTCCACGTTCCTATGCCAGGGCCGAGTCTCTCCACAGGACAACCACACTGTTGACTTTCCCACCGTGCAACTCATTTTACCGGCCCAAGGCGTTGTTTGTATTGTTAATAACAAAATGCAGCGTGATTTTTAAAAATGTGTTTAACCATTAATGTGTTCGTACATTTTGTGCGTGTTTAGTTTGTTGTCCTTCCAGACACCGTGGATTAGGTATGGTTATCTGCGTACGGTGCGAAAGAAGCTCAACATACGTACATCTTTCGTCATCAACAAAAAATATTTCATTACATTTTTCAAACCGTTCACCCGTGACAATGGCATTATCGGCCGTTACTTTGTTTGTGACCGCAAGCACCCCCCCCCCCCCCCTGCAGGTGCCACGTGCCCGGCGCCAAAATTGTGGTCTCTTGGTGCTGCGTAATATCGCACCATCGCGGTCGCCTTGATCATCAATTTTGATCTCGCTGTCCACGGAGATCGTAGGCTCTTAACCCAGGCCCCTCCGTGAACCATCCTCCTCGCGTTGAAGGCGCCGCCGTACCACTTGGACCCAAAATCGGGTGCAACGAATTGATTTTTATTGCATAAATTGTACCCGGCTGTTAATGAATCACCGCGGGAGTCTCAGTATTTCGCCGTGGTTCTGAACGGCGGTCCGGCTCAATGCACATTTAACTCCCAATTTATATACCTCAGAATTATTATGTTCTTGTTATTGTTTTTTTTTTCTGCCAAAGTGAGACATTGGTGAATTATTATTCTATCAGCTTAAAGGTTGGGGAGAGCAAAGCGTGGGTGACTTGAAAAATGGCCGTTTTTTAAAAGCGGTTTCCAGGCTCATGCTGTGCTCTGTACCGTTCAGCTTTGCCGCTCTCCTCACACAAAATCAAATGCTCGAATGGAATATAAAGGCGATAATTCGATGTCACGCGAACGGCGCGTGACCGCATGTCTGGAAAATAACGCGGCACGTCTGATGAACGCTAGAAATCGTGCCGTTGGTCCTCGCGTAAGCAGGCTTGCTTGTCTGCTCGGTGTGGGTGCGGCTTCGGGTTTGCGGCGATACGGCGGGACCACGATGAACGATAACACTGGTCAACACACTTTCTCTGGCATAAGGTGTTGCAACGGTGCTAAGGTAATTTTGGGGTGCTGATTCCAAATCTGGCATCAGTTTTTGTCTATCACATTGTATTTTCAATAAAAACTGCAGAAGAAAAATATTAAATAAATGTGGATATCTACATAAAATGATATTATAAACACACTATCCTAAAAATACAGCACCATGTTTTAACACTAAAGCAGTCACTGACTCGCAACAACTTGCAATCATAAGTGACAGAGTTAATTTCAGGTAAAATCAATGAAAATGGGGTATGCCGATAGCATAAAATGAGATGTGATAGAGCAAATCTGAGATCAGATTTGGAATCAGCACCCTGAAATTAGTCTAGAACAGCTGCAAAAGTCCAGGCCAGAAAAAAATGTTTTATTTTTGCTGACCAGTGTAATCTTATAGCTATTTACTTTCGCCATGTATAGCGATTGTCACGATATTAGTTTCTCATAAAAAAAAATTGTATTTCACATTTATCTAATTTTGCCCAAATTGTGAAAATGTCGTTATATTTTCACTATCGTGGCTCACGTGATTTTTCACTTGTTTCAATTTGCTAACAAAATGGCAAAGCATGATCATTAAATTTATAAGCGAATATCTATTATCCATTAAACTAACACTTTGTCAATATGTTTATTGGAGTAATTGATGGTATTGCTGTAATATGACTTCATCCTTTTTGTAGTTAATTTAATTGTTTTGTCTTATGCAGCTTATAGCATGGGCATTATAAGCATTATATTTTGTAAAGTTGCAATGATGATTATACCTAAAATATGTATATATTTTTGTAATCTTAATTCATACTCGAAGTACATGGAAGCACAAAAACTCTGCAATAAAAATGTGCAATACAATTACAGTACTCGTTTCACGGTTATCGGCAAAAAAATGTATATTACATAATTTCGTGAAAATTTTTATCGCAGAAATCCTAGAGCTGTTCGGCAGAGGGCACGTGGTCTCATCTCGCTTCACATTCCCAGCGTGAAAGTGAAACGCCGCCAAATGAATGAATGCATTTCGCATTCCAAGCTTGGTCTTCCGGGTGAGGGCGTAGGTTGATGGTATGGTGAACTTCTTTCATCGTACGTAGCCAACGTTGCTCATCGGAGGTTCCAAAGAAATTAGATTTTAACCAAGATTTTAAAGTACATAGCTTCAGTGGCTTCTTAATATCGAAAGGAAGAGCGTTCCAGACGGCCGCAGAAGCAAATCCGAAAGCGCGCAATGCAGTGTCCGTGTTGAGCATTCATTAATCCTCACAAACTTTTGACGCGCCCTACTGCGGCGATCTCAACGAGTAAACGCTCGAAGATGCCTGCAGTATCTGAAGATATTCCATAGTAGTGCGTGGTAAAAGCTTGAGAGAGAAAAAAACTGTCCAACACACGGCCTAACCTGGAAGGCCGCACTCGCATTACGAGTGGCTGGAGTAAACGTCTCTCCCCGAGTGTCTCGCGTTGACTGATCGATGCCCCCTTTCCCCCGTTTGCGACCAAATCTCCGCAGATGCCCCATACGGCCGAACGCATTCGGCTTGCGGCCACCAAGTGGAGGGCACGGAGGGCGAGGAGCGGGGCCAGGACCTCCCGTACATCGACGACTCTCCCCCGTCCTCGTCCCCCAAGATTGGCCATCGTGGCCTGCAGCCCGAGGACGGAGACTGCCCCGCCGATTCCACACTCGACGCAAACCTCACGGTAACTACGCGACAGAGTCACCGGGGGCCATCGCTTTGGGTTGGTTGTTTTTTGTCTCGGTTATTATTTTCCTTTTTTTAGGATGCTACGGTGGTGTGATTGTGCTGACATCCACGAAGCCATAGAAACTGAGAGGCCTGTTGTTTCCGTAGAGAGCACAGAGACAGTGGTGGTGAGATGTTAACTACCTCATCTGATATTCAGGAGGTCGTGGGTTCAATGCCGAGCCTGACACATTTTTATTTGCAGTGTGCGTGTCTCTCTCTCTCTCTCTCCCTGTGGTCGCGTAGATATTTCTCCGGGTCCTCCGCTTTTTCCCTCCATATTTAGAAACAGGTGTTTAGAGAATTTGTCTGCTATAATTTCCACATGATAAGCTACGTCGTTGCGCTTTCAATTGTGGCCAAGTTGCTTCTTAAAAAGAAGCTAATAGCTCAGTGGGCTTTACCTGATAAACAAAAAAATAGTTTAGTTCATTTGTATTTTCATTTTGTTCGTGATTTGCTTATCTTTCCTATACTTGGCGCTTCTATTGTGTTTTAGTATTGTTTGTTGTTGTAACGTCTTGACCTGCCCCTACTGGACATCTGTGAGAAACAGCTTTATAGCTCATCAGATTCCTCCAGTATAAACAAACATTCTGAGTATTCATTAATCGACACGTTGGATTGTTTCCATCACGTGTGCGTCTGAAGTAAAGAGTCGATAATGCCGCAGCGATGAAAGTTTTTTTTTATGTGCCTTCGCAAATGTGGGGCAGTACGGGGCTGGCCAACGTGGCCATGTGGCGTATAGGAAGTGCATGCAGTCACATCTGGAAAGTAACTGCTCCTGCGGTTTAAGTCGTTCTTGTCGTCGTCCGAAACGGCAACCCACGCAAAACATTTACAAGCCCAGCCCAGTGGGTGGCGTTCGGCATAAGCTATCGAGGCAAAAGCTTAGGGCTCAAAGTGGCTCAAGGGGAACTGGATTCATAAAAAAATATATAAGGGTTCATAAAACATCAGCTCAAATTGAAATCCTAATAACCATAAGCTAATTAATATGTTGACTTAAAGCTTTCGTGACTGCAGGAATTCATATTCTTGGGTCTATCGGTAAAGTCACGTAGATAGGTTCAAAGAAAATAACAAAAAAAGGCCTTTTTCCTGAATACGACCGCTTGTGTTGCGATTGAACCGTCGTAGTTTTTTGTTATTTTTTGTTATTTTCTTTGAACCTATCTACGTGACTTTACTGAAAGACCCAAGAATACTAATTAATATGAATAAGCTGACGAATCTGTCTCCTCTCTATCATGTCGGTATCTGTCCTTTCCGAGCTCACTACAACACATTTTTTTTCTAAATTCCTCTTATCTGATTACATCAATATCTCTTGTTTATATATCTTTTTTTCAGATCACTAGCATTCTGTGAATTGAGAGTGGGAACCCCAAAAAAGCGGATCTCTGTTTCGGGCCCCCCTCCACAATGGGCTAGCGTCACTCCTGCCCCAACAAATGTGTCGTCAATTCATTTTAAAAAAACCTTGCGTGGAATTTTCACGCTATCACAGATGGGCCAGTTATGTCTGCCTTTTGTTCGCGCAAGTTCCACGTTACTTCGTTGGCACACGTGTTAGCCGTTAAGCTTCGCGAAAGGGGGAAGTTTGTTAAATCAGCCACTGGCATTGCCTCATCACCTACAGCTCAAATGTGGTTTCCTGGTTTTCTTGGTCCCTGCCAAATGTTTTTTTTTATTTCTAAAGATAAGCCCTCGCCCTGCATACAGCGCCACTTTTGGATTCTACAACGCGCGAGTTACCGCTGCATTTCTAACATGTCGACTTCTGCATTCGGTCTAATTGCGTTCTAAACTTCTGGGGGGTACTCGCAAGTGTTCAATGCGTAGCGAGCCGGAGTTAGACGCCTCCGCAGAAAGCTCCAACACCCATCGCCTGCGCAGTGAAGGAAGCAAAACCGGGCCTGCACCGCTGACGCAGCCTGTTGCCTAGGCCTCGCTGGTTCAAGGAAGGGCGGCGGTTTTGTTTGTGATCGGGCGGCCGACACGTGTGACCCATGGCAAACCGGCAGAGCTTGGACGTTGCCACGGTGCTCGGTAGTCTGGATGCCTTTCTCATCAAGGAAGATGAGTCCTGCCTGTGCGATTACATGTGGGTCCCGAGCCCCACGTCTCCCATTTCGCCCAACTCGCCCTCCTTCATGTTCGGCGCTGCCAAATATGAGAGTTTTGAGGTACGGTGCTCTTTGTTATTGTGGGGTTTTTTCTCTCATTCTAATTGTTTGTATTTAATCTAGATTTTTGAAACGTATATATGGAGAACATTTGAATTGTGATTTCTGTCTAGTATTGCTCCAGTCACTAACATCTATTAAAATACAGTGTTAAATACATTTTGACAGCCTGCCGAAACCCATCGCACCTTACGTAGTCAACCGATTAGCGCGGTTAGCTACGTACGGCGCAAAGGAAATTCATTATTCACAGGTGGGTGTTTCGGGTTGCCACCCGTACATAATTAGTAAGAAGAGTGCACACGTTTTAAACGGGTACATATTTATATGGCGCTATTCAGGACTATGTCGACTCTTTAAAAAACATGCGTGCTTTGCATGCCGTTTGTCCCAAACACTCATGTGCCAGTACATGTGACCGAGGTACTGCACACGATGCTTTGTTGCGTCATCTTAATCCGTAACTAATGAGAGTTTAAAGTTGGCAACCCTATTGGAAGTCAGATAAGTCACAGTGGCTTTGCAGCGTCTAAAGCAGGGGTCGGCAACCAAAATAACAAGAAGAGCCATTTCTTTCCAATTCGGTACAAAATTCAGTATTTCAAGAGCCGCAATGCATCTGAGTACATACTGTACTCACGTACATATCGTCAAGAAGCAGCCCGTAAAGAGCCGCATGCGGCTCCGGAGCCGTAGGTTGCCGACCCCTGGTCTAAAGGCGTCGAGCTTCGCTCATCTCCTGTTCACAGCCCTGAACCACCAGTGGTGGGAAAATCCACATTTCTATGGCAGGGGGTGAGTATATTTACAGGGCAACCGATCAAACTGTTGACTTCTTCGCAAATTAGTTCTCAATTTAGCAACCACGGATCGATGAAAGGCTTGATTGCACCATTCTGCTTCCGTATTTACAATTGTTTTGCATGCGTCAACGGTGCTCTGTTCATAATGTAGAGAGTCAACACGCTGGTGTACTTTTGGTGTCGCATCAGATTATAGATAGAGTCTAGCTGTATTATAGCCGTAGGTTAAAGCTGTATTTCAAGTATCAAAGTAACACTTTTTTTTTAAACTGTTTATCAGAGCGGCAACGTGTTGTGGTTTTGACCGTCAGATTGATGTAAGTTGCATTTTTAGAAAACCGGCTACCCAGACACGAGCCACATTTCATTCCAGCGACGACAGAAAAAAAAGGATGCTTGCCGTTCGCAGGCTTTGCTCGTCGCCTTACCCAAAGGAGGAATCGTATTTTTGTTCTTTTTATTACAGCGGCATTCACAACCCCGAACACCCAGATCAATCCTGGTTGGATCCAGCAGAGTGATTTTCAGTGTTTTTCTGCCACTTCACGTGGTTATTTGCCACGGGCCATTTATACAATGTAAATAAATAAAACCCACGGTGAAAAAGCAGTGCAAGTTTCTTCAATTCCACTCCTCCCCCCCCCTCTCAACCCACAAATACCTCTTGCCTGTCCCATCCAGCGGTGTAAATGGATCCACCATGGTCAAGTCGATCGGCCGGTCTCGTGCGGTGGAGTAAAGTGTGGGTCCCTCCCCCTTTTCAAGATTTCCAGCCGGTGTGGAAGAGTAGGCAAAATCTACTGGAGGAGGCTTCCTAGAGCAACCTCTGGCGCAGTGTTTTTCATCGCAAGGCCCGCGGACCGCTGGCGGCCGCCTCCCTGGGGGCCTCTAGTGCGGCCCCCTGACTTGCAGTCCCCCATGACAATACACAAATAGTGAAAACACTCCTTGCAGGCGGCGGTGTGGCGGCTCTCACACTGACGATGTCTTATCGGCGGTAGTGGGCCCCCCCTCTGAAAATTTGCCAAGAGCACTGCTCTAGCGGAAGCCGTTCCGCCAGAAGTGGTGCGAGCGAGCACTTGCAGGCCTGCGCCTTTGCCTTTCACCGTCGAACGTGAGCACAAAAGTAAACGCGACATAATACGCGCACACACACACACACGTGCTGATCCATTATTTCTGATTTTGCGATACCTTGTAACCCCTGGCGCTAATAGCGCCCCCTGTTATTTTCGAAATACTCAACACCCAGAGATGGACTCGGTGTTCCTTCCAATGCCTCTTGTATTGGAATACAGTTTAGGCTGGTTATAAGCACACCCCTTGGGAGCAAGGCGAGGTGAGCTCATATCCGAAGTCGTCTGCTTGTATCAGAAGTTGCCCCTTGGTCCCCTCCCCCTCTCCACCGCCCTCAACGAATGTATAAGCACACCTTATTAGCACGCTTCTGATATAAGCAGCCGTGCTTATAAGGTGTGCTTATACCAGCGTCTGCTTTGTTTTTAAGAGTCATTGTTATCCATTGAATAATGGTGACCGAAAGGGAGAATTGCTGCTTGTGTGTGTGTGTTGCTGTTGTTGATCGGGCACCACACCCAGCTGTTCGTGTTTTATCCTCTTCCCCAGCAGATGTTTCGGTCCCAAGTTCTCATTTTAAGGGGCGTAACGGATAAAATTGCTCAACTCACAAATGTGCGCTTGAAATATATAACCCGTGAAACTATATATTTTTTTTATTCAGAACAGTTTTTTGTGTTTAGTTTGATGTCCTTCCCCTGCACCTCTGATTAGCGCGGTTGGCTACGTACGGTGCGAAAGAAGTTCAACTTACTCTGCAATCCATACTTTAAATAGATTTAGTTGTATTATCTCCCCGCAATTGATTTATTAATTTAATCTTTTAATCCACTTAATAATGAAGCTGCTCCCAACAAACACCTGCTTTCCGGACGGTGATATTCTGTGCGTTGTCAAGTTTTCTCAGTACGGTCCTTAATCATGGTCAAATTGAGCTGGGAGACATCATGGCTAATGATGATGATTAATGCCATGAAAACCAGGCTTTCTATGTACGGTGTTGTGCTGCTAAGATTACCCGCGCCCGGCAAGGAGAAATAAAAAAATTAACCTGTAAAAACAAAGTTTTTCACTATAAATCCTTTGTATGCGTGGTGGCTAGAATCCTCTGGTCCTCTGGCTTGAGATGACTGCCACCTATGGGTCAGATAATTGCCTGCCACCATTAAGCAATTGGTAATTAAATATAAAAAAAAAATTCCTAAAAAGTGTAAAGTTATGGAAAACATTTTTCACGAAAATAAATTGTCACGCACAACGAGTTAGTGTGCAAAATGTCAGCTCGATTGGATCACGGGAAGTGGGTTAAAAAACGACCGAAAGATTTGCACGGTCGTAAGCGTGCAAGCAAGCAAGCAAGTGAACTTAATATGAAGGATTTAAAAATATCTGGATTTGGATGTAACGTTCTGATCGCTTCATAGCTCATCGGATTCCTCCAGTGTCAATAAATATTCTGATTCTGTAATGATCTGGCCGCATTCATGTCGCAAGAACCCTCCATCGCCCGACGCAGCCAAGCAAATTCAATTGTCACCTGCGCAAGCGTTGAACGACCCGCCAAATGATAATTGGTTCTTTACCCTTCTATCTGGCAACAAAACTGACACCTTTTTGCAAGGAGTCATGTTTGCATAGACCGCAATACCTGCAGTCATAAATACAAACAAAAGACATAACTCTGATAATGTGCACTGTCCTTGAAGTTGATTGGTCCACACCCGAGACAGCTTTCCTTCGAGCCTAGTCTCATATGGGTTGGACCAGATGACGCCAAAAGGCGCCTTTTGGCGTCATCTGGTCCAACCCATATGAGACTAGGCTCGAAGGAAAGCTGTCTCGGGTGTGGACCAATCAACTTCAAGGACAGTGCACATTATCAGAGTTATGTCTTTTGTTTGTATTTATGACTGCAGGTATTGCGGTCTATGCAAACATGACTCCTTGCAAAAAGGTGTCAGTTTTGTTGCCAGATAGAAGGGTAAAGAACCAATTATCATATTTTTACTGGCAAATGAGGTCCCCATAGTGTAGACCCGCCAAATGTTTCAGCTCGCCGTTAAAATGAAGAACGGTGCTCGCATTTACATATAGCAATTAGATGCGACGCTTTGGTTATTGTTGAAATTATGCCAAGCACCTTCATTGAAGTCCAGGAAGTGACGATGGAATCCAGAAAATACCTGCCCGTTTCGGCGGTCATGGTATCATGCATGCACCTAGCCCGGCACAGATAGCATCACTGCTGCTCAGTGGCTGCTGGCGGGCGTTTTTTCCCCCCGTCACATCTCAGTTCTTAGAACCTGGCCTGGGTGTCCCCTAGGTCACCTTAGCCTAAATAAAAGGACCTGCTGCAGTGTATACATATCAGCGCTGTAGAGACAAAGACGGTCAGGCATGGTGCTGACCACACAACCCATTTGTGCTCCATAGTGACCTTAATAGGCACGTGCTACTGTAACTTATCCCCAAACTGTGTGCGCTGCTAAATCTGGGATTTCTTCACATCTGTGTGTGTGTGCGTGCCTTCTTGTGTTGCAGGCGGAGGCCGATGAGGAAAAGGTTTTGACCATGAGGAAGCTCGTTCTGTCTGGCATTCTGGCCAGCGAAGAGACCTACCTCAACCAGTTGGAGGGCCTCATGCTGGTGAGATCCAGATGAAACCGCGCAACACACGCACGCACCTCCAGGAGACAAATATCCCCCTGCTCATGTCGCCTGAATAGACTGTCAGGACAAGTGCTGTGAGTGCACGCTTTTGAAGGCCTGCACGGTGCATGAGGGGGTGGGTGGCCAGTATCACGCCCGGCCGCCTTTGTCACACCAGATACTCGTTTGAGGAGAGCACACACACACACACAAGCATGACGTCATGTTCCAATCGGCATCAGGTCATTGAAATGACGATTGTAGACACAACCGGGCAAACTAGCAAGCAGTGCGTGACTGTGTCGGACAAAGGCCTCGGATGCTGATCTCACAGAACTACTTCTGAAGGTCAGTAAGGCCTCTTTAGCCAAATAAGGAGCACAGATTTATAATGCCCTGCATATATTGTTTTGTCGCATATCAACCAAATAGAAAAGTGTTTGTCTCTGGCTCGTGGGCCCTGGTGCAGTTATACTGCCTGCACAACTCAATAGCTATGCCACTGACATTACCCAAAGTGTCACCCACTGGTCAACCGCGCTTGTCATCCAGTCACACGGCATGGCTAGCACCTGGGCTGCTCTGGCCCCGGGACCTAGGTGCAATCGCACCGTCTGCACACTCAGTGTCTACGCCCCTGTTGCCGCCCAGAATTATCGAGTGATCAATCGCTCAACTCGCATCGCCCAACGTTTTCGACATATGTCTGTCTGCAAGTCGGTGCGATTATCGCCCCGAAGCGTTTTCGTGTTTCTGCATCATTCATTGCCCGAGCGACGGTTTAAAGGTAAGTTTGTCATTGTCGAACCTCTATTGTAGGAGATGTCATTTAAACATGAATGTACGTTTGTGGCAGCGTTCTCAACTTCTCCAACAGCGCGAGCGTTATTATCCTCCAGATTACATCCCCTTCGCTGCTCCGCTCTATTTAATTTGCCCGCTTTTGTTTATTTACCGGGGGCAACATTGGCACGTAAAATGAAGATCGATTATTTTGGCAACCCAGCTCGCTCTCGCAAACGAGACTCTGTGTCCCCCCCCCCCCCCGGCGCCCGCTTCGACGAAATCAAATTCGGACGTGAACCCAATCTTTTTGGCGTTTCGCTTTCCTGTGTCCCCCTCCTCCCCGGCTTTCCCTCGCCCCCCCCCCCTCCTGCCAGCCGCTGAAACCGCTGAGGGCGGCTGCCACGACGTCGCAACCGCTGCTCACCAACGTTCAGATCGACGCCATCTTCTTATGCCTGCCCGAGATCCTCGCTGTGCACCGCGAGTTCTACGAGGGCCTGCGGCCTCGCGTGCAGAAGGACGACGCCTCGCAGGGCGTGGGCGACCTCTTCCTCAAGCTGGTCAGGGTCTTCTTACGTTGTCTGCCCGGTTGCGCTGATTGGAGTTGTATGTACGGTTGTTGTTTTTTTAACTAAAACTATTTTTTTACTAAAACTATTTTTTTTGTACCAGGTAAGCCACCTGGCCACAAATTACAGCTCAACGAAATTGCCTTAACATCGTGTGGACATTTATAGCAGCCAAATACTCTGAACACACGATGTTGATTCGAAAAATGTGGGGTGAAGAAAAAAGGCGAGGGAGATAACATCTCGCCACCATGGCACCCCTAAACTTAATGTTATATTTCAATAGGAGCCCGGTACAGAGCACAAACCGCCGACGCAGGGAGGGGGGTACAGAGAAACACTGCGGGCCACAAGGGCCAAAACACTACGAACCTGGCCGGTTTTAAAGAAGGGAGGGAGAGTGGGCTCGCCGCCCCACCAAATGGGGACCACGAGTGGGGTGTATGTGTTGTATGTATGTATGTTGAGCTGCTTTCGCGCCGTACGCAGCCTAATCGGAAGTGCGGGGGACAATCAGGGTGCTGCGTGTGGCGAGATATGATCCAGGAGGTCAGGGATTCGGTCCCGATCCTGATGGCTGTTGTTTATTTCGAGTTTGCAATTCGCAAGAGCAGGTCAATCCCTAACAAGTACTTAGACTTACGCGAGCTAACCCAAAAACCTTTAATATGAATAACATTGTTGCAAAAGCCTACATGTGTTTAACTTCAATAATGACACCGCCAATTACTCAATTGGGATTCGACACACACACAGAGCAGCAGCGATCGTCGCCCCCTACTGGCAGACTCACGACCCAGGTCACTCTTGCAAATGAGACTCATCCTGCTTGCCTTGACTTCTCACACTGGTTATGCAAAAGAAACTTGAAACTACGCGTACGGCTCCGCGAAGCGCAGGTTCCGCACGAGTTGGAAAACTGCGTCCACATCTGCGGTGCAGTTCCCCAAGCAGAAGAATACCGTCAGGGCAGATCTTGGGGGGCGCGCGTGCAGTCTGCGGCAGCCGCGGCATCTGGCGGGGGGTAGGATTCGTTGGCGAGGTGTGATGGCGCCAACAGCTTTGGCTACGATGACATCTTGACCTGGATCAGACTGAGAGCGAATGCATTGGGTGTCAATGTGCCAATAATAAGTGCTGGTGTGTAATCCCTCCGTACGCTTGCTGGGTTTTCTCTGGCTGCTACAGTTTCCTCCCACATGCCCACGTAGGACCTTCCTAAAAAAATCGTCAGGAGACTCGGGTGTGGCTTTCCTGGGTAATTAAAGGTCAGAACGATGTACAGCCGGCTCGGGTGTTCGCTTAAACCTTCAGTTTTTATACCACTTTTTGCGACGTCGGGAACTTGGCAATCGACGATTCGATGAACTTACACCAGAACAGTATGTGCAAGTGAAAATTTTGCAGAGTTAACCGACGGAAAAAGTTGTTGGTTGTGTGCGTCAGGTGGCGAGGTTGATCCGGCAGAGATATGGCTGGCAATGGTGAGGCAGCAGTCGCTGTGGGTAAAAACAAAAAACCCAAAACAGATGCTGAGTCCATTTTAGTTTCGCGATCGGGATGTGACACAATGGGAAACATTTGTGCCTTGTTTCTGCATTGTTATAATAAATAAATAAAAACCATGTGAACAACCCAACCAATAATAAGTACTGCATATTCTCAGATTAACATGATTCATTGTAATTTATATGACTACAGGCAGTCCCAGGGTTACGGAAGGGTTAGGTTCCTGAGAACGATCCGTAACCGTAACTTTCCATATTTTGGAAATGTAATAATTTTGCCACAATCAGCGGTAAAATCCCATCGCCGGAAATAGTTGTGTCTACCCTACCCGATTACTAGTTCCTTTTCTCTCCGTACTGTATCGCACTGTCATCCGTTTTCTGTCAATCGTATCGCTGTACATACGCTCTGCACTTCCTATTATTTCATTTAATCGAATATTTACCCTAACACCACCCATAAATAAACCAATGGAACATGTACTGTATCAAGTTGTTTATGAATACCACGAAACGTTTAAATATTAATTGTTAACAGAAAGCAGTCACTTCCGAATGTTCGCTTACCGTGCATTAGGCTAGGCCTAGGCTTCTTCGATCGCTGTTGGCTGAGACCAGAAGCCATCGAAGTGTAATTGTGTTAAATAAAGTACATACAGTAAATAACTCATGAAATCAACTTAAAATGAAGAAAACTTGCAATAGAAACATGTCGAAAAAAGATAGTTATAGGCACGGAAAACAAACAATTACATAATGCTACAAAAGCTAAATAATTATGTAACGCTACAAAAAAATAATTACCTTAATCCTAGTGAACCTCGGGCTCGGTGAAGGCTTAAGGTGGCCCACCTTATGCCTCGCTCCGCGGTATTCGCAACCTCACTGCGTTGCACTACTTCCGCTTACGTAACTAACGCAAAAAATATCCGCATCTTGATTTTGTTTTTTCATGATTTATGGGAGCATTTCTGTCAAGTCGGATTTCCCTAAGTCGGTTTTTCGCAACCCTGGGATTTAAAGTACATTAAAATACCTCTTCTGGTCTTCGCACCTGATAGGCTCACAGTGATGCCATCAACTTTACTCTATTTAAGACCGAAAAGGGGAAGACTTCTTCACAATTCTGGCTAATTGCCTGATAAAGCTGGTTGTTGTAATCACCAGAGAAATGTCGTACACAAATTGGCAATGTTGTGGGTGTACTCTCCAACACACCGGTGTGCTGAAATAGTAACTCGTTGTGACGTCTTTGTTCACGTGGCACACCTTACTAATTGGCGGTGCCGGGTGCTAGCGGGTTTAACGACACATTTATATTAACGCGATCTAACCCAGAAAAAAACCTTCGTGGAAAAGAATCATAACAATAACTGAACAAGCATCCTCCCCTCCCCCACCGCATTTTGCCTTCACCAACGTGCTTGGTTTCACGCTTCAACACACCGGTGGGCTAAAGCAGTGAACTATTTGTCTTTTGTCAACGTGACACTTTTTTACTGATTGGCCGTGTCGGGTGGTGGAGGGTTACGACACATTTATAAATAACGCGATCTAAACCCAAAAACGTTGATTATGAATAATATTGGTCGCGAAAGCCTACGTGTTAAACTCACTGTTACCTCCGCAACACAAGAACCACTCGAGCACCTGGAGGAGAGTTTGCTCGATCCAAGGTGTTCACTGGAACAGGCAGAGTAACCAATTTGAAAAGGGCCTCTGAACTGAGCCACAAGAGAACAAAGGAAGGCACGGGGCGACGAGAGCTGGTTCAGAGCTCACTTTGCCCACTGACGTTAGCCGTGGCCGGGAATCAAACTCGTGCATAGCATTCGGCACTTAAAAAATGCAACACTCATTCCGTTTCGATTTAAAGCTTTCGTGACTGCAGGGATTCATGTTCTTGGCTCTTTCGGTAAAGTCACGTAGAAGGGAAATAATAAAATAAGAAAAATATAACATAATAAAATACAATTCTCACGACGTTTCGGCCACAACGCAAGCAGCCATCCTCAGGTGAAGAACAGGTCTGTCGGAAAGACAGCGTCTGACCTGTTCTTCACCTGAGGACGGCTGCTTGCGTTGTGGCCGAAACGTCGTGAGAATTGTATTTTATTATGTTTTATTTTTTTTATTTTATTTTTTCCCTTCTACGTGACTTCACCGAAAGAACCAAGAAGACTCATTCCGTTGTTAATTATTATAGTTATTGTAACAACAACAAAAATCACCGTTGTTCTTACGCCCCCAACGACAAGAAGCTAAAATCGCCCTCGGCAGAAGTGTTTTCAACCAAAAAAAGAGACCCTGTCGCGTTACGACGCCACGCGTATTTCTGAAACCTGGGTTCAGATAAGGACGAGATCAAAGTAAGTTGACACACCGACTATTATGTTTTTGTTTCATGCAGAACCGGTGCAGGAAGGGGGGGGGGGGCAGTAAGGTGGGGTGTGAGTTGTGTTTCGTGGCACGCGAGCTGACCTCAAGCCTGCGGGTTCACGTTTATTTCTCCAAACAACAAAAACCACTTTACTCCTTCTCCGGCGATTGTGCGACTATAAACTGGGCGAGCAGCAACTAACGGCATCTGTCGGCTGACGTTTCTTTTGAAAAAAAAAATGTCCACGTAAATTCTGAGTGCAACAGCTAAAGTTTCCCTGATGTGCGGCAAGTAGTTTGCACGTTGCGATAAAAAACCACGGTGGGCTGAGTTTGATTATTTGACAGAGGTTGAATGGTAATAATTTAGTACATTTGGTATTTGTGCCATTCTTCTTTTTTAAGAGGCGCCAATGATAGCTCATTGATGTGGCTTTTACCATCACACGTGGGAATTTATAGAAGCAGCCAAATAATTTAAATGTGCGTTTTGTAAATATGGAGGGCGCAAAACTGGAGGAGCCGGAGAACAATCCATGTGACCACCACAGGGAGACAAATCACGCAAACTCCAAATATGCATCGGGCATTTTCAAGGTCCAGGATCGAACCCACGACCTCCTGCATACCAGGCGAGGGAGATAACATTTCGCTACTGCAGCACCCCAAGGGAAAGATGGCTTTGGCTCAAAAAATAAAACCAAGATTCATCAACAAATCTTGAGTATCATTTCTGACAGCCATTCCACAAGGCAGATGAAATGGTAATGCCGAGCAGATTGATGAATTCACGACATACGAGGTCAACAATGTTGAAACGCGATCGAAGGAACCATGCTCTCGCAAATATGAACCATCTGTGTTTGTGTTTTTTTTTCCCTTGTCCAGGCCAACCACCTTGACTACTACAAGAAGTTCGTGGACAACTACAAGACCGCGGTGGAGATGGCCGATAAGTGCAGCAGCGCGGACGCTCAGTTCGCCAAGATTTCAGAGGTTTGGCGGAAGCTGCAAAAGAGTGGCACTTTTTACATTTTCCCACGACGCTTGTGAAAGTGTAATAAGAGCCTATGTCCGGCTCACGTGGTGATCGGCTCTGCCGGTCCCGCTTTACAGCCAATGGGGGGAGAGCCTGGGAGCATGGCCTCGGCGTGATCACGGGATGTCAGCTAGGGTGATTGGTTCTGCTGGTCTTGGCCTCAGCCAATGGGAAGACAAGTCAGGGGCGTGGTCCCGGGAGTTGATGGGGGGGATCTGGAACATTCGGCGCAGGCTATTAAGGATTGGCTGGAGGGTACCACGTGACCCAGGCGTTAAATAAGGGGAGAGATCAGAGACACGTGGTCAGACACGGAACGAAGAGAGAGAGAGGGGCCACGCGCGAGCGGGGCTCCGGGTGCCACGTGGCGGTGCGTCTCTTGTGGGCTGTCTGCCCACTTCCCGTTGCCTGCCAGCAACGGGGAGTGTTTGTGAACTGAAGAAGTGAAATAAAAGGACCGATTCCACAAGCCGTCTCCAAGAGGTTTATTACAAAAGCATTAATGCATCAGCTTTGTCCGTCCATCCATTCGGCTGTCTTGTCTGTAACACGGTAACACGATGGCTCTCGTAAAGATGGAAAGTTGCGTCGTTATCAGGAACTTACCCTGGAGGAAACGGTCACAATTTATAGAAGTGATTCCAAAATGTGGGAGATGAAAACAAGTGCTGGGAGAAAAAAAAAAACAGCGACACGTGCCGTAATTTTGCCGTGCGCGTGGCATCATCTCGTTGTCGATAATAGTCGGGATACCTTTCCAGGAACAAACACATGTTGGATAGAGTTACACGATCAACGCATATGTATGCGTGATTTTTGGTCCTTTTGTTTAAAGTGACCTTGTAACACATCTGACTCGATTTTAATGAGGCTAGCACCAAACCTCTCTCTTAGAGCCCAAGTCTTAACCTTTACCAGTCCTGGCACTTACCCTAATCCTGACATACATTGTTAATGTCAGCATTAAAAAGAGGGATTGCCTTGTTAACGCTTAATCCAATTTCACAGGGCAAGCCTTATTAAAAGCTGCATTTGCATTTAGGACTATTTGCTTTTTGCATTACAGACCTTGCGTTTTGTCGGTTCCTGCAGTGTGAGTGTGCTAAATGGCCTAATAGGAGTGTGTAAATGGGATTAAACAGTGGGGAGTAGAGCACAGCGTTTGTATTTCGAGCAGCTTTCCTCCATTGTACCAGACGGAGACAAAATATCCTCCGTAGTCTTCACCAGCCTGTTGGGGCGAGCGCTGTGAGTGAGCGTTTCCGAAGGCCATCGCGGTGGTTTGTACAACACCGTTGCCGGTCGCCTTCGTCCTCCCACTGCCGATGATCACACGCTTGCGTTGAGGTCAGAGGTCGCAAACGGGTTTTGATTCCTTACCCGTACCCGGCCGCACCAGGGTCGCAAACGGGTACCCGTACCTTACCCGATACCCGGCTACCCGTACCCGGCTGGGTATCGGGTAGGGTACGGGTACCCGATTGCGACCTCTCGGATGAAGCCATGTTGCAGGCACGGGTGGGTTGATTCTAGGAACTTGAATTGTGAGAAGAGACAAGACGTTGGGAAATGAGTGACAAACGGTTACTCACCAGTGACTCACGGCCTACCCGTACCCATACCCGGCCGCACCAGGGTCGCAAACAGGTACCCGTACCCGGCCGGGTACGGGTAGCCGGGTATCGGGTAGGGTACGGGTATCGGGTACCCAATTGCGACCTCTGGTTGAGGCTGAGTTGAGGTTGAGTTGACCAATGAGAGGCCGAATTCTTGTTCAGATATTCGTCGTTAATGTTGGCCCTTGACAGTAATGAAACTCGGGTCACGGGATTCCGTGCCAACTACTGCGCCACAACCACTCCACCCCCTGTTCTCCAAGACAAACAGAGGCAGAGGAGGTCATGGGTTTGATCCCAACCCTGACGCCTGTTGTATATTTGGGGTTTGCATGTTCTCCCCGTGGTAGTGTGGATTTTTCTCCTCCACGTTTAGAATCAACGTACTTTTTAGAGTATTTGGCTACTTTAAATGTCCACGTGATAAGCCACTTCGTTGAGCTATCATTTGTGGCCAGGTCGCTTCTGAACAAGAGCTACACAGCTCAGTGGGCCTTACCCTGGTAAAATAAAACAAATAGTCATCGTAGTTGAGGCCAGCACAATACATAAAGGGGGTGGGTGGCCAGCACCACGTTTCTCCAGTGCTGATGCTTACACACCGCACCACTCACTCATTGACGTCTGACTCGATCTAGGGGAGACCTAAGACCGGTTCGGATTTTCGTCACCGACGTTGGCTTTGAGTGCGGATTGTCCTCGGGTTGCCGGGGTTCGTAGGGCGTAGCACGCAAACCGCTGCGCCACCGCTCCCCACTCTTGTACGTGTATACGCTGTGCACGCATTCAACTCCATACGTCTCGTGTCTTGTTATTGTTTTTATGCAGAGGTTAAAGGTGAAGAGCTCTTCTGGATCCAAAGAACAAGCAGGCGCATCGTCTCTGGAAGGTATCACAGCGAGGGACTCGGGAGGCAGTCTGTGTATCAGGCTTTTATGTCCAGACGTGAGTCTAGCCCCAAGCTGCAGACTCCTCGTTCTGATCCGGCAGACTGGATGATCACGTGAGTGTGCGCGAGCGGCCGACGTGACGTGACGTTGAACGCGTACCTCCAGGCCTCTCGCTCGCCTCTCTCGTCTCACTTTTTCTTATCAATAAACCCCTTCAGTCATAATGCAAACAAAAAACACAACTCTGATAATGTATGCTCTGTCCTTGAAGTTGATTGGTCCACACCCGAGACAGCTTTCCTTAGATATTCATATTCTTAGGTTTTTTCGGTAAAGTCACGTAGGTAAAAATTTTAATTAATAAAAGTAAAATAAAAATAAGATAAAAATCACGACGTTTCGGAGGCAACACAAGCGTCCGTCTTCAGGTGGAACCGTCACAGCACGATAGCTAGTCTCACATGGGTTGGACCAGATGACGCCAAAAGGCGCACAACTCAAAGACAATGCACCGTCAGAGTATGAGAGCTCGGGGTAAGCATTTACACCATTGGAACCTCATTTGCCAGTAAAAAATAAGATAATTGGTTTTTTACCCTTCTATCTGTCAGTTTTGTTGCCAGATAGAAGGGTAAAAAACCAATTAACAATAAACCCCTTATTCCTCGTCCTACAGCTCTCTCAATCTCTCATTTAGCTCTCGCTTTCACCTCGCTAATCCGCCTCTCTTTGTACCTCGGCAAGGCGCATATCCCAGCCATGTCGCTCGGCGGGCCACTCCACAGGCCCCGTCCGCGGGCGACGTGGCCAGCTGGCCCGCCAGTCGCGGGAGCCCTCATTTACACCGCCGTGTTTCCCATCCCGTCGGTTACAATGGTCGTTGTGTCGTGCGCGTGTTTCCCCGGCAGCGCTCCTGTACAAGCCCGTGGACAAAGTCATGCGCAGCACGCTCGTCCTGCACGTGAGTACAACTCGTGACGCAGACACCCTGCGGACGGAAACCCGCGAGGCACCGCGTTGGATTTGTTCATCGCATAAACGCGCGCGAATCCCACGACCTCGCAACGCCGAGCTGACGCGGCGTAACGGTTCGTACACGGGGATTTGAAATCCAGAGGTTGGCGGATCTGTTCCGTCTCCTGGCGCGCCAGTTGAAGCAAACGGTGCAAGTTTTTCACCGACCCCGCTGCCTCTATCCACCCTTCGCCGCCGCACCTCGGATTAGCGCGGTTGGTGCGAAAGAAGTTCAACATACATGCGTGCACCCTGCAGGATAGATGGCTACACCAGAGTTAGTCACTCGGTAGGCCGTGTGCGGTGTTGGGTAAAGTGTTGGGTACGCCTCGAGCTCTTCCAACGCATTGGAAGAGGAGACGAGAGTTCGTCCTGGCGGGGAAGGGGGGCGGGTGGCCCTTCTGCCAGCAGTGGCCTGAATAAGCAGTTGCAGGGCATTGCACCTTTACTTTTTATTATTATCACTGGCCAGCCAGAGATTTAGTGATCAGAATCATCAGGACCAAAATCTTTATTTTAGACTGGAGGAATCTGATGAGCCATGAAGCTCATTTTCACAGATGTCCGGTAAGTGATGCTACACGTCACCCTTTAGATATGGCAAAGGAAGGGGCATGAAAATAATCATTTCACTTGCGAATCTCTTGATTTGTTTACTTAAGGATATCTCGCTCATACGGGGTTTGCGATTCATTAAAAAAAATCAGATTAAGTGCTGTTAATTTGAATGAGAGTCTTTTTAAAAAAAAATCCATAGCGCTGATGAAAAGTGCAGGTCACTCGTGAAGAGGAAGAACCAAACACATCTCCTTAATATTTATTCTCATGACAGCCTATTTCACAGATTGACTTAATTTTCCTGAAGAACGAGCTACGCTATTATTGCGACAGATTCCACCTCAGGTCCATTTTAAGCGGGTAGCTGCTGTCAAATAAATATGTAAGTCGCAGCACACGGCACCAGGTTTTGCTGCTATCGTTATCACCACCATCATCGTCGTCATCAGTTAAGTGTAGCCGCTACGTCTTCTGCCACCACGGTGAATCGTCGCGAGCAGGACCTGCTGAAGCACACGCCGCGGTCGCACAACGACTACCCGGCCCTGGAGGAGGCGCTGCGCATCTCCCAGAACTTCCTCTCCCACCTCAACGCCGAGGTGACGTCGCATCGAGCGAATCTGCGCAGGGGAGAGGTGAGTAGCCGCCCCCGCGCTAACGGTTACGCCTCGCAGCGTCGCTCGCTAATCATATGTTGAATTTCGATTTAAAGCTTTCGTGACTGCAGGGATTCATCTTCTTGGTTCTTTCGGTAAAGTCACGTAGAAGGGAAATAATAAAATAATAAAAATAAAACATAATAAAATAATTCTCACGAAGTTTCGGCCACAACGCAAGCAGCCGTCCTCAGGTGAAGAACAGGTCAGACGCTGTCTTCTCGACAGACCTGTTCTTCACCTGAGGACGGCTGCTTGCGTTGTGGCCGAAACGTCGTGTGAATTATTTTATTATGTTTTATTTTTTTTATATTATTTCCCTTCTACGTGACTTTACCGAAAGAACCAAGAAGAATAATATGTTGCTCAGAGGGAGCCGCTTGCCCTGCGCTCTGGTCCCCAACTCTCTTATTCCCGCCCGACCGTTTGAGCAGTATTTTTTCACAGCCAAACTTTTATTGCGGGAAATTTATTTTATTTGATGTCGACTTTTGTTCGCGTGGTATTCTCAATTTCTCCTCCAACTCAGTTGGTTTTGCTCTGATTTCTGTTGGCGTCATTGGTGTGCTTCAATTGCTCTTTTGACAGTTTTGTTTGCCCTGGTCACGCTTGCAATGAGACCATCCTGGTCTCTAGTTCTCACCTTAGTTGAACAAATAAACTTGAATCTCGCCTCGACTATCGCCTCCCCTTCTCTACCTCTCCTATTCCCCTTCCCTAGCTGTCCCCTAACCCAGCGGTCCCCAACCTTTTTGGCACCAGGGACCGGGACCGGTTTCGTGGAAGACAATTTTTTCACGGACGGGGGGGGGGGGGTGTTGATCATTGGGTCCTTCCCTCTTTTCAAAGAAGCTCTCCAGCGACGTTTGTTTTTTACTCATTGTGGCTACTAGGGGTTAGCAGCTTGTGGGCTTACCAACACTGTGACTGAGACAAGTGCACAGTGCGGGAAAGAGGCGCGGACGGAAGTGGGGGCGGGCCACGCGCGGACTCACCGCTCTCACCTTCTGCTGTGCGGCCTGGTTCCTAACAGGCCATGGACCGGTACCGGTCCGCGGCCTGGGGGTTGGGGACCCCTGCCCTAAGCCATCCTCACCTCTCCTGTCTCCCCCGTGTCGTTATTCTAACGAGGCCGTGCCGCTGTCGTGCAGGGCTACTCCATGCTGCGCGACGGCTTCCTGGTGGAGCTCGTGGAGTGCTCCCGCAAGCTGCGTCACGTGTTCCTCTTCGACAAACTGCTCCTCTGCACCAAGCTCAAGAAGCAGATCTCGGGGTGAGGGCTCTGGCGCGTGACGTTAGCCGCTGTGGCGGCCGCAGCAATCGAAACGCGGGTTTTTGCCAGCTTCACGTCGCAGTGTGCAAACCACCGCGTTGCGCCCCCCCCCCCCCCCCAGCCCCTCACCCCGCCCCTCATTGACATGTCGCTGGTGTTCGGCAATAACGATTCCGTGGCACCGAGACAATGGAAGGACGAACTCGGCGATTTGCAGCCATTTGGTGGATCATTACGTCGCAGGACCGGGAAAGATGGCGACATCTTGGGGAGACCTTCATCCAACAGTGGATTGATCATGCTGCTGCTGCTGATGATGATAATGATGATGATGATTTTCAGTTAAGTGCCGATTTTAATCATGTTAGTCGGAGCCAACCGATTAGCACGGTTAGGCCACGTATGGTGCGAAAGAATTTCAACGTACGTACACACGTACATAGAAGCGTGATACGGCGCAAAACTCTGGCGCTACGCTCGGGAGCTTGCGGAGGAGCATTGCTCCGGCTCACCGTGCCACCTGCCGCCCTCTCCTCGTGCAACCGTCAGGAAGCAGCAGAACTACGAGTGCAAGTGGTACCTGCCGCTAGTGGACCTGAGCTTCGTGCCGGTGGACGAGACGGAGAGCAGCCCCCCCATCCACGTGGCCACGGAGGAGGAGCTGGAGGCGATGAAGGGCAAGATCTCGCAGATCAAGAGTGAGATCACGCGAGAGAAGGTACGGGGAGCACTCACGCCGCACTCCGCTGGTTCGCGAGCCACGGGTGCCACGTGCCAGCGAGCCAGTGCACCAGACGACCGCACGTGACCTAGGATGGGTCGAACAACCTCCATCTCTGACCCGATAGCCACGGTGGCGAGATGTTGACTCCCTCGCCTGGTATACAGGAGGTCGTGAGTTCGATCCCGACCCCGACGCCTGTGTGTTTGGAGTTGGCGTGTCTCTCTCCGTGGCCAGGTCAGTGAGCCTTACCTGGTACAATTTAAATATTTCGTTTAGTTTTAATAGATTGGTAGTTGGCATCCCATTTTTCCTTCTGTAGGGGGAGCAACGAGCAGACGTGTTCGGATTTGGGCAACTGCAGTAGAATTTGCACCACTTGTCCATGAAAAACTGCTGACAAGATGAGTCGTTTATTTTCTCAGCAGTGCATGCCAGGAAACGATGCTGGCGTAGACCCGAAGATAAATGTGCATATGTATGGTAACATTTGCAGCATGACTCCACTCATGGGTAAAAAATAAGCAGATATTAGGAAGCCATTTCACACTGTGGGATGGGAAAAAATGCTTGTAGTCTAGCAATAATATAAATAAAGGGGGCTTGGATAATAGGAGTTTGCATGGACCCTACAGCTGCCACGGATAATAGGGGTCATGGGTAATGGGGCTGCGAGTAAGAGGATTTTTGTACAATTATTTTAATAAAAAACATCTTCTGATGAATGCCAGATGCCTTTGGCTTCATACATCATGGATCTGAATTGGTCTCTGACTTTGTAGATCAAATCCTTCCAGTCTCTCCTCGCCCGGTGGCCGGGGCTGTTAACCGACCGCCTAAAACCCACACCTGCCACGTTTTTATTTCATCGAGTTTCACCGTAAAAGTCAAAACTAGTCCATGGTTTTGCTTCATTAACCTTTTAAGAAAACTCACGTGGGGAAAACATCGTTCTTGGAGGGCCTGTCGGTGGGAAGGTTAACCGGCACTTTATTTCCTTTATGGAGATTAAACAAATCTGTCTCAGCTCTTCAATTGCCGTTCCTTTAATCGCGCACGGATTCTGTTGCTCATTATTTCCCCGGTACAGCAAAGGTAGCTATTATTACGACACGCACACCATAACAAACTCGTCGCTGCCGTTTACATAATGACTTAATTAAAGTGCGGCGGAAATGTACAATTAGTGTAATTTTTCCCTTCATTAAAACGCAGTCGCTGCTGCTCAAAAGCCTTTTCGCCCAGGTTTGGATGTAATTACCACCGTCTTTAATGCACCTCTGCGTCAGTGTTGTACTCGGCTCGTAATCATCGTCAGGGACGCGTAGATGATGAAGGCTCGTTGCGGGAACCAGTGTCCACCGCGTTCCACCGCGTTGTAGACGGAGGCCTCCGTAGGGGTAGGCCAGCATCACGACAGATGTACGTATGTATGTTCAACTTCATTCGAACCCTACGTAGCCATTCTTGCTACGTAGGGGAAGGACAATGAACAAAACACAAAAAAGCAGTTCTAATGAAATGAGTTTTAAATCTAGATGATTTAAAAGTGCACAGCTCCAGCGGCTTCCTAATATCGGAAGGAAGAGCGTTCCAGACGGCCGAAGAGGTGCACCTGAAAGCGCGCGATTCTTCGATGGCGGGCCAAAAGACGAACCCACGAGTCTCTGGGACGGCCGATCGGATGTTGCCGTGATGGAGAGGCGTTCCAGATCCCACACTTCACGCGATCGTGCAAACGTAGGGCACGGCATACGTGAGAGTCGCTCCTCCATCACGGCAACTGTGAGGGTCACGGTCGGTGTTCGGAGAGGAGAGTGAGGCATTTGTCCACGGTATCGCTCGCACTAATTGTCTGGCCAGCCGTGAGCCCATCCGTTACCGTGTACCGAGGGTACATCGGTGCCAGTGGAGAGGGGGAGGGTCACGTACCAGTAGAGGTCACGTACCAGTAGAGGTCACGTACCAGTAGAGGGCACTCGCGGCCAACAGGATGACTTGGAATCGCTCGCCGTTGTTTTCACGTCGGAAAGACTCGCCGAACGTCGGGAACCTTTTGCAGGAGGGTCCTGCGAGGTTTTCGCATTTGGGAGCGACGCTGCTGAGTTTAATCCCCGGTGGGGTTATTTGCTTCAAGAAATAAAGAGTGGCTTGAAGGAACGGAAGGTGAGTGCTTAGATGGATGTTGCGAAGACCTCCGATTAGCGCAGTTGCACAAGAGCGCAGAAGTGTGGTCACCACATCTACGCCTCTATATAAGGAACGAAACGGGTGGACTTCTCCACAATTCTGGCTGTCGCCTGATGAAGCTAGTTGTAATTGCTGGCGAAACGTCGTACTCAGATTATAAATGTTGTGGCTTGGCTTTCCAACACACTGGTGTGCTGTACTAGTGACGAATTGGCATGTTCTGTTTACGTGACAACCCTTACTAGTTGGCTGTGTCGGGTGGTGGCAGGTTCAACGACACATTTATATATTTATGCGATCTAAACCAAAAAAATTCTTACGGGTGCGAAAGAAGTTCAACATGCATACATCAGCGGGGGATGAGTGGTATTATCGAGAACGTAAGGGAGTGGGTGAGAATTAAATGGGTTGGTCACGTGTTGGGCAGAGGTAACAAAGGTGCATTTACAGAGATACAATTAAGCTCTCTATAAGATGGAAGAGTAGCGGGTATGGTTTTATTTCGTAGCCTAACACGGCAGATAAAGAACGTTTTAGTGTGTAGTTGGTCATTCTTTTTTTTTATCTCATTCCAAAAAAGTTTTGGCTTCTCACACGAGGTGTGGGCTGGAGCGCATTACTTCTGATGGCCCTTGGCCAGTGATGGGAATATCACATTCCTAGGGTGGCAGCCACAGCCATAAAGTAGAACAACTTACTGATGGCTTTGCTATATAAGTGTCTGGTTTAAAATAAACAAATCAAGAATTAGCCCTGCAGTTTATTGCTCATGCAACTGCTGGCGGAAGGGTCTCCGCTAAGTCGACCCCACGGCCTGGATTCGAACCTACAACTTTACGTTAGATTATGCAGTATATAATGTACGTTTTTAACCATCACCTTTTCACCACCCGGCAGAGCGCATGGAATCAAGTTGTCACGTCATGGGCGAATACCGAGCTTTGTTAACACCAGATAGTGCTGGTTGTAAACCTCCAGAAGGTTGTGGGCTCGATCCCGACCCTGACGCCTGCCGTATATTTGGAGTTTGCATGTCTCTCTCCTCGTGGTTGCGTGGATATTTTTCTCCGAGTCCTCCGGCTTTTCCCCTCCACGGTTATGAACTTGCGTTAAGACAATTTAGATATTTTTGCTGCTATGAATGTCCAAATGATGAGCCACTTTGTTGAGCTATCATTTGTGGCCAGGTCGCTATTGAAAAATAAATTAATACCTCAGTGGGCTTTGCCTAGTAGGATGGGGATAGTTTAGTTTTATTTGCACGTGTTTGGGCGATTTGTTTACCTTTCTTGTACTTCCTACTCCTATCGTGTTTTTGTATTGTTTGTTGCTGTAACGTCCTTACCCACCCCGACTGGACATCTGTGAAAAAGAGCTTTATAGCTCATAGGATTTCTCCAGTATAAATAAATATTCTGATTCTGCTCCGAACGTTGGACAGAATTGGCAAAACCCTTGCTTGCTTTTCAACTTTTTCTCCTCCGGTTTTACCGAAAAGCCACATCAATCGGCATGTTTGCCCCATGACGTGACGACTTGATATTGATTGGCTCCGTTGGGTGGCTGGAGGGTTATTGTACGAAAACAAAAAATCCACAGAACACCTTCGCGATATAACCCAGGAAGAAACCAATTACGAATCGTCATAATGTCGGTCGTGAAAGCCTCCGGGTACAATTAACCGTCCCACTGTAAGAGCTGCCTGAGCCATTTCGCCGCAGCCACAGAGCCATTTACAACTCCAAAGGGAATTTTAAAATCGCTCATTTGAGCGAGCCATATCAAAGCGGAAAACCACGCACGGAGCAATATATATAGGAATATATATTATAGGAATATTATATATATCCCCACGCGTGCGCTTTTCCGCTTTGATAAAGCTCGCTCAAATTAGCGATAAAAATATATATTTATTTTAGCATCTTCCGCGGCATTTGCTGCGCGCCCTAAAAGACGGATGGCTCTTCGTTTACACATGAAAGGGGCACAATCACGGGGCGGGTTGTCCGGGCCTTCCTCCTCATCCTCGCAGCCCCAATGCATTTTACATAAACCTGTCCTCATGCGCAGGTCGTGCGAGCATGACGTGACGCACGTGTTGTTATTTGCGTTCGGGGTGAAAGTGTTTAGAGGTTTTCCTCTCCCCCATGTCATGTCCTTGCGTAGGTTGTTGTCGTCGATGTTGCCCGAAGGCTAATGGCACTCGGGGGCGAGCGGCGACGTGACGGTTAACAGAATCGTGTAGAATAATTACTTGTGCCGGAGGAATCCGATGAGCTATGAAGCTCTTTTTCACAGATGTCCAGCACGGGCGGATCACAAAGTTACTCAACGCACGGCGGCAATCTGAGTTCTATGAACCCGACGAGTTTGATTCTCGGGCTAACATCTTCAGTGAATAGTGCAATTAGAACAGCCCCCCGCCTACTCTCCTCACCCTCCACCTACCCTCTCCACCCTCTGCCACCCTGACCCTGCCTACCTTCTCCACCCTCTGCCACATTGACCCTGGGTCTACCCTCCCCCGCCCCTCGGCTGACAGAAAGCGAACAAGAACAGCCGCTCGTTGGAGCGGTTGAAGAAGAAGCTGTCGGAGCAGGAGTCGCTGCTGCTGCTGACGTCACCCAGCATGCCGCTGAGGCTCCACACGAAGCACGGCAAGGTACGCCGGCCCACGTGCCGGTCACAGGAACACGCATTGAGATTTCATTTTTGTTTTAGATTCTTTCGCTGCTCTACAGGGTGGCGCATAAGTCTGGAATCATTGGAAAAATAATACAAAAAGGGCAATGATAACGCTTTTATTTGCGTAATTTTCTTCACAAACTTTTTGGGACTTGTGCTAAAATGAGCGAGGAATTTCAGTGGGTGTGTCATCGTCGGTGGATCTCCTCGACAGTCCACTGCGTGGTTTATCTTGTATGGATCCCGTTTCCCTGAACTTTGCAACAAGTTTGCTAAAACAGCTCTGCGTTGTTGGCTCGCGGTCTGGATGCAGTCTGTTACATTCAACGGCGACCTCCCTCTGACGCCGATTTCCTACGAGCAGAATTATCTGGACTCGTTGTTCCTTTCTCGGATACATCTTGGGCCTGCAGAAACAAAACAATATGATTGAGTTGTTCTTCCTTATGAGGCCAGACTCATGAGCCACCCGGTAGATGTCCACGCGATGGGCCGCTTTTGTTGGGCTGTCATTTGTGGGCCCAGGTCGCTTCTGTAAAAGAAGTTGAGACCTCGGTGGGGTTTTGTCAGTTAGGATGGGGATGGTTTAGGTCTCTCTGTATGTTCTAGATTTGAAGCTTTCGTGACTGCAAGTATTCATATTCTTAGGTTTTTTCGGTAAAGTCACGTAGGTAAAAAAATCTAAATTAATAAAAGTAAAATAAAAATAAAATAAAAATCACGTTTCGGAGGCAACACAAGCTTCCGTCTTCAGGTGGAACCGTCACAGCACGCTTGCTGTATCAAGTAAATGAGAGATTCCAAGAGATACTACCCCGTATATATACTGGTTGAGGGGAGGGGGATGGGCCAGGGCAGGCCCACTTTTATTATTATGGTAAGGTGCGGCTTGAGACTACGGCTAGTCTACATAACAAAGGACTGAGCCTTTATTATGGTAAGGTGCGGCTTGACACTACGGCTAGTCTACATAACAAAGGACTGAGCCTTTATTATGGTAAGGTGCGGCTTGACACTACGGCTATTCTACATAACAAAGGACTGAGCCTTTATTATGGTAAGGTGCGGCTTGACACTACGGCTAGTCTACATAACAAAGGACTGAGCCTTTATTATGGTAAGGTGCGGCTTGACACTACGGCTAGTCTACATAACAAAGGACTGAGCCTTTATTATGGTAAGGTGCGGCTTGACACTACGGCTATTCTACATAACAAAGGACTGAGCCTTTATTATGGTAAGGTGCGGCTTGACACTACTGCTATCTGTATGTGTTTGTGCGATTTCGTTTGCCTTTCTCGTGCTTGGCACTTGCGTCGTGTGCTTGTATTGTTTGTCGTTGTAACGTCTTTACCCCGTGCCCCTACTGGACATGTGTGAAAAAGAGCTTCATAGCTCGTCGGATTCTTCCAGTGGAAAACGCACTAGGGGTATGTAGAAGCAAATGAAAACGAATGTCCCAACACGTGCATGTTACGGCTCTTCTGTTCTCTAAACAAGGAGGGGCTTTGGCAGCAGTGGAACGGTCCGTGTGCTCTGGGTCTACTAATGAGCCAACAGTGTAAACAGCTTTGACAAACAATAACAATAAAAGGCTTTGCTTTCAAAAAAATCGTTCTCGCCGCTTCGTGGCACGGCGTGCATCGGTGTGTTTCTGCTCATTATCAACGCAGTTGAGATCTCTGCTCAAAACCCATTTACCTTTCGTTACGACAGAAGTGTCTGACCAGAGAGGCTTGCTTGCTTTTGTTGTTTTATACATAAATCATGAATATTTATTTATACTGGAGGAATCTGATGTGCTATAAATCTCTTTTTCACAGATGTCCAGTAGTTCGCATGTGTGATGTCAGCGGTGTGGCTTTCGAGCGTGCAGGCGGTGCAACTGCCCCAGGGCCCATGAGCTAGGGGAGCCCATGGAATGGGGTGGGGGGGGGGATTGAACAGTGGGGCTACCAGGGTGCCACGGTGGCTAGGAGATGTTAACTACCTCGCCTGGCATACAGGAGGTCGTGGGTTCGATCACGACCCTAACGCCCGATGTATATTTGGAGTTTGCGTGTTCTCCCTGTCGTCGCAGTGGATTTTTCTCCGAGTCCTCTGGTTTTTCCCTTCACATTCAGAAACATGCCCTTAGAGTTATGTAGCTCAGTGGGCCTTAGCTGGTAAAATAAAAAGTAGTTACGTTTTTTAGTTTTATTCCCTGCACCAGCATCCATGCCAACCACGCTTACGCCACTATGCGATGCCACATTGTAAAGACCCCAAGATTCGATTGCTCCGTAATCGTGAAGTTAATTGACTGCGACTGACATTGGGGCATGGTGAACAATTAGTTGATCTCTGATCCGATTTTAACGCATGTGGTTCGGCGTGGTGTCCTACGTTCCGCTACATTTTTTTTCTATTTTACCAGGTAAGGCCCCCTGAAGCAACCTGACCACAAATGATAGTTCAACGAAGTGGCTTATCACGTGCAAATTTATAGCAGCCAAATACTCTAAACGAATGTTTATAAATGTGGAGGGAAAAGCCAGAGGACTCGGAGAAAAATTCACATGGCCACAGGGAGAGAGATGCAAACTCCAAACATAACACAGGCGTCGTGGTCGGGATCGAACCCACGACCTCATGTATACCAGGCGAGGCAACTAACTTGCTGGATGCTCGTTCAGAAATGTAAATTCCCTTTCGCTCCAAACGCTTTGAACGTCTTCGGGGACCGAAACTCCTGGGCACATGGAACGAAACATCGGACGTCATTCCAGCGCGTGGAGCGAAACGTTGGACTTCATTTCCGAACAGATCGCGGTTCAAGCCGACAACACATCGGAGGGGATATTCAGCACAACTGAAAACCTGCACAAAATAACCATTGCCATCGTTGTGAAGACTCTGATTTACAAAATATATGAGCAGACAATACGCCTCCTTCATATATCACGGACCCCGATGCAGTTGCACCACCTACACATTCGAAAGCTGTGTCACTGGTTGTGTGTAATTTTTTCATATATATTTTGTTTCTACGTGCTTATCTATGATGCAAAATGACGCATCAGCGTTGAAAAGTCTGATGCACTCCTGCATCTCTGACTCTCCCCCCCTCTATCCCCCCCCCCCCACCACCAGCCTTACACCTTCCTCCTATCGTCGGACTACGAGCGAGCCGAGTGGAGGGAGGCCATTCAGGAACAACAGAAGAAATGTACGTCACAGAGACCACCGTGTCGCCCCCCACCCCCGTCCGCCTTTTGTGCGTACTCATCGGAGCGCGGTGGTGGTGGCGGCGACGGCTCGCGCTCGTGTAAATCCGGCAAACTGTGGAGGCGCAAGGGTTTGGTGGATCGAACAGATTTGTGCACGCTCCGTAAAAACCTGCTTGTCCACGTTGCTTGTCCGCTGCAGGCACCGACAGCTTTTCTCTGAGCTCGGTGGAGCTGCAGCTCCTCACCTCATCCTGCATGAAGCTCCAGATGGTTCACAACATCCCGCTCACAAGCAACAAGGACGGTCAGAACTCGCCGAAGCGTAGTTCCTCACTCGCTGTTTTCCAGGGCTCGCTGGCGGACCCGGGGGTTGTAATTGCGCGATGTAATCTTGATTGTAATTATCGGCTAACAAGTCCGTTGTCATTGTACAATTAACCCCGGGGTCTTGGACCTGGGTGTTTGGATGAGCCACGCAACTTGTCGCCACAGCAAGAGCGAGAGGTTGTTTCCTATCCCAAGTATGAAAATAATAAGCCGTAGCGAAAGCAAGCTGAGCAACACTTTGTCAAATCAGTTTTTGAAAGTAGGTTTTAAAACCCAGGGATTTGAGTTGTAAATGCTTGGATATAAACTTACAAGCAAAGGCAGGGTCACTCGGTTGCAAAATAAATGAGGGGGTACAAATATTGGGAAGGGGAATGGGTAATATTCCTGAACATTGGTTGAGCCTGTATGGTGAGAGGGTTGTGCTTGCTAGACCACTCCAGGAATCGGCTGATATTTATAACGTTGTTTTACATGTCATAGGACTTTGAACATCTCATTTCCGGATGTCTAAGTATTTTTTTTTTTTTATCTGAAATACGAATGACATTTTTCACTGAATGATGGAATCGCGTAATAATAAATTCCCTCGGAGTACCGTTCGACCAAATCTCACTCTGTCCCCGAATGGCTTGTCCGCCACCGAGCGATAGCGCGCCACGTATTTCCCAGCGTTCTCATTAAAAAACCACTTGCATCTCTTGAAACTCCGCGCATCTGTTTTGATAGGTTAAACCAGGGGTGTCCAAACTTTTTGCAAAGAGGGCCACATTTGATAAGGTGAAGATGCCCGGGGGCCAATAGTTCCTTCTGACATTGTTTTAACCACAAAAGTTACGTGGAAATACACATCGTTGTAAAACAATTTTCATTGTCACAATTACCTTTATTTTTCAAATGACAATGTAACCAAATATAAGCTACTCAGGCAGACGTGAACAACTCTAAAAACGCAATTCTGCCTTTCATTCAGTCAGATAACATTGAACAAACTGTATAGAATACCTTACATTTCCATGAGTTTTATGATGTATTTATTCTGACAGAGCTAGCGAGCCATAAAAATAACACGTTATAAGACCGAAGCTGCGGGCCGCATGAAATCTGCCCGCGGGCCGTGATTGGCCCACGGGCTGGACTTTGGACATGCCTGGGTTAAACGTTGCAGTGTAATATCGGTGTGACGTACGGCAGGGGTCCGCAAAGCCCGCAGAGAGACCCCCGCCACCGCTAAAAATCCAGCACCCTAAACATGGAAAGAATTATCAAATGGTCGGGGGTGAATTTAAAAATAACGTGCGTGTAATCTTGTTTCTGCTTTGCTTGTAAAATGCTAAAACGATCTTGCATACGGCCGCAGTGCGTTTGAGATATTTGGGCAACAGTGAGCGACTTGAACTTCTGCTTCTTCTGCTTACGAAGCCAGAAGTCCATGAGTGCATGGGGGTTGGAAGTTGTCTCTCTCCACAATACTTGTGTTCCGCGTATCTTCCGTAGGCATATGTACAGACCCATAGACTCCCACTTTACAGGATCCCATAGGCTTAAATTCAGATGCATAGACTCGCATACACTTACATGATCGGACTTAAAAAAAAATTGTACGCAATCGCTAAGCACAGAGCCCAAAGACCCAAAATGCCAGATGGGCAGCAACAACCAGCACCATAAAAGTTGTGATAGATAAGAGTTGATACGTTTCTTGAAATGAGCAAGAGCAGCATTACTTTCCGAAGAGCTTGGGAAAAGAAAAGAGAAAGAACGTAAAAGGGAGGTGTGTGTGTGTGGGGAGCGGTAACGCAGCGCACTAGTCGACCCGAATTCGATTCCCGCTCACAGCCAACACCGGTGACGATTAACTCAACCGGTCATGGGCCTCCCCTAGGTCCATTCAGCCTCAAATGAGTACCTGGTGTGGCGTGTAAACATCACCACTGGGGAGACAAAGGCGGCCGGGCGTGGTGCTGGCCACCCACCCCCTCGTGTGCCGTGCCGGCCTTCATAGGTGCTCGCTATCAGCACTTGCCCCAACAGTCTGTTAAGGCTATATGGAGCATCTTTGTCTTTGTTTGACTGAGACGTGACGCTGTCTCCTTCCCTCTCCCCACAGACGACGAGTCTCCGGGCCTCTACGGCTTCCTCCATGTCATCGTCCACTCCGCTTCGGGATTCTCCGAGGCCGCGAGTACGTGGGTCACTCGCATCGGCCGCCTGCTGCCGCTGCGATAGCGATGGCAGTGGCGGCGGTGGATGTGCGCACGTTGTACATGCACCCGCGCCATCATTCGCTCACTCGCTTAATCTCCCGATCACTTGCGCCATCACTTGCTCACCCACGCGATCACTCACTCGATCACTCGCTCGATCACCCGATCACTCGCTCAATCACTCACGTGATCACCCGCGCGATCAGTTGCTCGTTCACTCGCTCATTCACTCACTTCATCACTCGCTCACCCGCAAGATCACTCGCTCGGCCCCTGCTCGGCCGTTGTTGGAATTCACTTGGTCACACTGAGTTGGTGAAGGCGGCGGGGAGCATAGACATGGCTGCATTGAAGTGCGGACGAGCACAATAGCGGCGCTTTCCTCACCGCCCCGCTGGCCGCTGTGCAGCCCGGTGCGTCGAGAGTCAATTAAACAAAGTGTGGGCCTCGTCCTTTTCGTGGCTCTTGAGGATCTGGATTAATCGGTGGTAATTACGTTGCGATGAAAATCTGCACTTCACCAACTTTCCAGTTGTTTTTAATGAGTTGTGATCTTGGTTGAGTCATTGGGTTGCAGCGGTGGCGCTGCAGTGGTTAGCGCACCGTCAAATGAACCTGGGGACCTGAGATTCATTCCTGGCCACGGCCAACATTGGTGGCGATTGATATTTAAACCAGTCCCAGACGCCCGCTCACCCTCCACCCTCACGAGTTCACCTTCCCACACTGACCAGTGTGGTGAAGCATGGTTAAATAACGACTATTACTGACATGGCAGTGGATTGACAATGCGCTCTAAATTACCATTAATTTGGTAAATGCTTACATTTTTCTTCAAACGCAGTGCTTCATTTTTTTACAAGCATTTTATTATTTCTTTCTTGTCCAGGAGAACGTCGTTGATTCAAAGACCTTTTTGATTATTAGGGTCCTGCCTTAGGGCCGTCCTCGCGAATGTTCGTAGAACGCAGTAAAGTAAACACATCGCGATAAGAAAAATATTGACGCAATCTATTGTCACGCCAGTGGTGTTGTGGGATTGCGAGCATGCACAAAATCTAATTTGGCAATAACGGCAGCCGTGATGCCATTTAGGGAGCTGAATACGCCTCGCATTATTGCATTTGCAAACGTTCCGTGTACTGGTGCAGTAAACTGCTTTATCGTGTTGTATGATTGCAATGTTCCACATTTTGCCAGAGCCCCTTGATGCAATAACAAACAAAAAATAAACCGCCGTATAATGACGAACCTATGCCGATTCGACGGCGTGCCGGCCGCCTTGCGCGTGCCGACATTCGGCGATCGTGGCGCACCCAGAAGAACCGTTGTCACGTTTTGTTAAACGCCGCGTGATTTCGTTGCAAAAGTTATTCCCTTCTCCGATGAGCATCGAGGAGGTGCTCATCTCCTTCTTCACAGCCCCTGAAGCCAGGAGTGGAAATTCCACATTCCTTCATGGTGGCAGGGGGGGCGGGGACAAGTCTATTCACCGGAAAAAACTACTGTTGACTTGCCCGCACAGTGGTAGCCGTTTTACCGACCCCCCGGGAGGGGGGATGATTCGTCGAGTCAAACCCCCAAAGCAGGATCTGAACTCGCAAACCCTCTGGAGGTTGCAAGCCACTCTTTCTGCCACTGGGCCTCCCAGCCTGCTATTATTACAAATACATGCAAACACTTGTGGATTGCATTGTTTTGGTAAATTGAACGTTTGCAATCACGTTCCCTCCACCACAGATCTCTACTGCTCACTGGAACTGGACTCCTACGGCTATTTCGTGAACAAAGCTCGAACGCGAGCCTCCAGGGACACCACCGAGCCCGAATGGAATGAGGTAACGACGGCAAAGGCCCTCAGCCCTGCAATATCTCATGGGCCTTGATTGCCCGTCGGCCTTGATGCAATTGCGACGCTCGATTTAACGCGTAGGCTTTCACGACCAATATTTTGGTGTTTCTTTGGTTGGGTCAGATCGCATAAATGCTAAACGGCTCTTGTGTTCATCTTCTTGGTTCTTTCGGTAAAGTCACGTAGAATGGAAACAATAAAAATAATAAAATAAAACATAATAATAAAACATAATATGTTTTATTTTATAATTTTTATTGTTTCCATTTTACGTGACTTTACCGAAAGAACCAAGAAGATGAATCCCTGCAGTCACGAAAGCTTTAAATCGGCTCTTGTGTTTTTTTTCCGTCTAAGCAGTAACAGGGTTACGTAATACGACAAGGCCACATGACCGATATCAACACTCGATTGAGCGTGGGGAACAGTGAGGGGGAGGGGGGCGGCCGTTGGGCAATCCGGACATTCGATGCTCCGGCCGTGTGACCGATTTCAGGAACATCCTTCCTTTGCGTCGTTCCCAAACGGCAAAAAAAAAAAACCTGTTGCACTTAAAATCCTGTGATTTATTCTTGCAGTTCATTTGCAGGCTTTGACCATAAACTAAAATATTTAAATGTGTTATTGAGTCGAATTTCAGGTATGCAAAGGTGCAGCCCCTGCAATTGCTTGCTCATGGCACTTCTGGCAGAAGGGCCTCCACTCGAGGGAGCTGTATAGTACCCCCTCTAAGAGTCGGCATTTGGTCTATTCTTCCACGCTGACCAATTACTTCGGCAGGGGTGGGAGTCACCACACTTTACCACTCCACATGAAACTTGCCGACTGACTGACTGTGTTGCACCTACATATATTTGCGACTGGGCAGGAACTTAAGTACACACCCGTAGACTTACACATACTCGTCCGGTAGGGGAGTGAGATTAGATGGGATAGGATGGAGGGGAATCTTGAGCCAATGACGCTTGCCATTTTGGTCGAAAGCGTGGGCGATTGCTTTTGAAACAAAAACTTAAACAAAAAACGATATTTAAACTATTTCTATTTTACCAGGTTAAGGCCCACTGAGCTATATAGCTCTTTTTCAGATGGGACCTGGCCATAAATGACAGCTCAACGAAGTGGCTTATCGCGTGTTAATTTCTGGCAGCCAAACGCTTGAAACGCACATTGATTCTAAATGTGGACGGAAAAACCGGAGGACCCGGATAAAACTTCACGCGACCACGGGGAGAGAGATACACGCAGACTACAAATATACAGCAGGCGTCAGGGTCGGGATCGAAGCCATGCCCTCCTGTACACCAGGCAAAGGTCAAGTTTCAAGTTTCGTTTATTAGGTATAGCCCTGTGAGCCATTCGGCTCTTGAATCGGGTGCAACCGCAACAAACAAATAAGTATAACCCGTAAAAACAAAGTTTTTCACTATAAATCCTTTATATGCGTGGCGGCTAGAGTCCTCTCGTCCTCTGGCTTGAGATGGCTGCCACCTATGGGTCAGATGATTGTCTGCCAGTATTAAGCAATTGGTAATTAAATATTTCATTTGTTTTCCCTAAACAGTGTAAAATTTTGGAAAAAAATGTTCACGAACATTAATTGTCTCGCACGAGTCTGTGTGCAAAATGTCGGCTCGATTGGATCACGGGAAGTGGGTTAAAAAACGACCGAAAGATTTGCACGGTCGTAAGCAAGCAAGCACGCAAGCACGCAAGCAAGCAAGCGAACTCAATATAAAGGATTTAAAAAACTAAAACATGAACAAGAAAACATCTTAAAGTGACTATGTGCAAACAGAAAATCCAAGAAAAGACAGCAAAATATTGCAGAAAAAGCACCGTACACCAACGCTGTATGCAACAAAGCAGTTGACATCTCGCCACTGTGGCGCCCACAAACAAGCAACACACTCGGAAATTGACGCGCGTGTGTTGCCCCCCCCTCCCCGTCAGGAGTTTGAGATCGAGCTGGAGGGTTCGCAGAGCCTGCGCATCCTGTGCTACGAGAAGCGCCACGAGAAGGGCAAGCTGAGCAAGGGCGACACCCAGACCAGCGACCTCATCCTGGGCAAGGGACAGGTGCAGGTGAGGGAGCAGGTGCCGGGCCTTGCGTGACCCCCCCCACCCCTCACGGCTGAACGAGCTCACTGCTTTTTATTTTACCAGTTGAGGCCGACTGAGCCACGTAGATGTTTTTTCCGAAGCGAACCTGGCTATCGCAAATGATAACTCAACGAGAAGTGGCTTACCACGTGGAAATGTATAGCAGCAGCCAAATAGCTACGTATCATACATGCATTGAACGTATCGTAACGTATAATATTGTACTGTACTCACCAAGATTCGTACGCTGCTGCGTTTGCCTGCCGCGCAAAATTTAAAATATTTTACAATTTTGTCGTATCGCTATCGCCATCGTAACATAGAAATATCGTAAGTCGGACCATCGTAACTCGGACACTATCTGTATGACTTTTTCAGAAACGATCTGGCCACAAATGATAGCTCAATGAAGTGGCTCATTACGTGGAAATTTAAAGCAGCCAAATACACTAAACACATGTTGTTTCTAAATGTGGAGGGAAAAACCGGAGGACCCGGAGAAAAACCCACGTGACTACGGGGAGAACGTGCAAATTCAAAATATACCGACGACAGGGTATACCAGGCGAGGTAGTTAACATCTCGATACAGAATCGCCCTGCCGTTGTGTCGGTGGTTCAGAGATGAGGGTGACAATTTCCACGCACGGTGCGCTCGCTTCAATGTCTCGGCCACTCAACAAAGCACCTTGCATCACATCTCATCTCAACCATCATTACATTGCTCTGCTGCAGTGTTGCCCAGGAGACCCCCTGATGGCAGCTGTCCCTATGCAGCACACGGTGTACACAGCGCCAGCCTGCAAATAATAATCACTAGCTTCTTTGCCCGTCCTAGGACGGAAGCTGTAATATTTACGAAAAAAAATCGAGCAAAGTATAATTGTATGTTGTGTCAATTTAATGGCAGTGAATCTTGCACGAAAGTACGTCATCAAACACTTCACTGCAGTTCACTGTAGCACTATATTAATGGCAGTGATTCTTGCACAAAACTACAACATAAAACACCTCACTTGATGTCACTGTAGCACTGTATATAACTGACCTTCAATTTGTTCAAATTCACTGCTCTGATACTTTATTCTCTTCTACTTTCGGTCGCTGGGGTTGAAATAAATTGGAAATCGATGCAATATGTGGGAAATCACCAAGAAATGTCTATTTTACCATAATGTAGAAGCATCAATTAGACTTACCTTTTGACTCAAGTGCTGAAGAAATAAATAAAGACACCAAATCCACTTTGTTGCTGCGTAGAATTATGTATTACATTCACTATCAATGAAGAAACGTCAAACTTAAAGCGAATTTGAGAAAAAAATGTTTTATTTCCGCTCCACCTGCGTAAGTGTAAAAGTCCACCTGCTCATGAATATTAATGAGGGGGGGCTCTTTTGCAGTGACGTCACGTACGGATGTAGCACTGTGCTGCGTAGATGTATTTTTGACTTTCTGTAAAAAAACGTCGTCATATTTGAAGCGACTTTGCGAAAAAAAAACATCTTTCCGCTCGACCTTCATGATTATATGATTATTTTATTATTAATGACGGGGGGGGGGGGTGCGGCGGCATGTGGAGTGACGTCACGCGCGTTACACACATTTCTGGGCTATTATAGTAGCAATGAGGAATACTGATTTGTATTTGTCGAGCGCTGAAATGCCCCAGCATCCCTAAGTGTTTATTTCACACATCCCATATCAGCCATTCCATTGCCCTGCTGCATCTAGCCCAGGGGACCCCTGGTGGAAGCTGCCCTTATGCAGCACAAGGTGTTCACAGCATCAGCCATCAAATAAGGAAAACTATATTTTATTATAGACTAGCTTTACTACCCGGCTTCGCCCGGGACTTGGATTCGCCACGCCCGGCCGCCTTTGTCCACACAGCAGACCAGTTACTCGTTTGAGGCTGAGGCGACCTAGGGGAGGCCCAGGACCAGTTAAAATAATCGTCACCGGTGGTGGCCATGAGCGGGAATCGAACTCGGGTCGCCGGGTTCGTAGCGCGGCGCGCTAACCAATACACGACAATGCGTTACGCTTCCACATGCGCGGGTCACGTGACAGATGTGCCGTCACAGCTCACTTGCCGTGCAAAAAATCTATGCTTTATTGAGCTCCCCCCCCCAAAAACTGTATTTTTATAAAACATTTCACGGTGTACAGTCTGGAAAGTACCCACATGGCAAATTTCAAGTTTGTTGCATGTCGGGAAGTACGCTAAACATTTTGAACAGACACACATATTCACAACTTTGCCTTTTATATATATATGGAGAATACTTGCTTAAATGCCCCAGAATATCAAAGCACCTTATAACACACATCTCACCTCAACCATTCCAAAGCCTTGCTGCTGTCTCGCCTAGGGGACCCCCTGGTGGCAGCTGTCCCTTTATTGTACAAGGTGGTCGCAGCACAAGCCTACGATGGACATTTGTCTTCGGGTAGGCAGAGATGCTGCATTGTAGTTTTCCCCAATTAAGTAATCTGAGAGTTATTGACCCATGTTAGTGAATTTGGATCATGACGCTGGCGTGCATGGGCCTACTCTTTTTTTTAGTAACGTCACGGGAATCTATTTAACGTCCAGCGGAAGCAGGTGGGGTGGCGCGTTCACGGTTAATGCACCCGCAGTTTGATCTCGAATTGTCACAATTCATGCCTTCGCAATACTGTTTCAGCCGTGGTGTTACAATTGCTGTCATGCAAAGACATCGGAAAATACGTGCCATCGTGTTGAGGGCTGCGTTTATCATCATATTAGCATGGACCTTTAGGCAGGAAAGCCTCACTGCGTCTTAAAGACTATTTTTAAGAAGGCTCATGTTACATTGGGATGTTTTGGCCATTTCTATTAATGAACATTCAAGCTTCAAATGGGAGGAAACTGGAGTAGGGAGTACTTGGAAAAAACCCAAATTACCACACTTAAAAGGGGGTTACCACTCAAAGCTCCACACAGATGGATTCAACATTTCGTTGCTGTAGTGACATCTCTTGGGAACCTTGCAGCTTAGGTTCGCTCGGTATTCCCAGGCAGCTTCCCATCCGAGGAGGAACCAGGCTCATCTCTGCTTATCTTCATGAGGCCTGGCGAGCAGCCAACGCATTGAGGGTGATTTAGCCAGAGGCTCGTAGTCAATGTGCTGCTGATGTAAGCATGCCTGAAGTTCTATTTTGTGTTTCAAAATGTATATTATATATATAATAAAAAATTGGACTCTCATTAGCGGTCTCAAACTTACCTAATCCGTTGGTAAAAAAATCCCTAAGTGAAAATCAAGGTGCCCTAAGTGCATTAGCGGTTTTAATTTCCCGTCTTGGCAGCGTGATTGGGTGTTTGATTTATAATTGCCGAATCCTTGCCCTCGTCAAAATAGCATCTGCTGGCATGTGTGCGTGCGCGGCGTTAAAAATATCCAGATATGGCCATCCGCTTTCCTCTGACTCGAATAGTAGCCCTTCATTGAGCACTAAAAATATAATACCGACTCAGCCTCTGATTCACAGTCTTTTCAGCAGCGTGAGCGTCAAGGATGTGTCTCTGGGGAATTCTGTTTCACGATAGGATTTCCAGCCGCTTCAACGTTGCCTATGTGCCTCATTCCAAGCAACACATGGATATAAACATCTGAGTATTTCTATATTTCAGCCGGTGAACACCCACTGTATGAGATTATTATTATTACTATATTACGCCGGGGCGGTGAAATGGCCAGGCGTTTGTGGTTCAAGCCCCACGGCCGCCCTGGTTGATATAAAAAAACAAAGTTTTGGAGCAATTGAAGGTTTAACACGTAGGCTTTCGCGACCAATATCATAAATTTACGCGATCTAACCAAAAAAACCCTCTTATGGATGAGCAATTGAAGTTGGTGCTCATCTTCCGTTTACACAAGCTGAGCCATCGGTGGAAATTCCGCATTTGTTACGGTTGAGCTGAGTCCGTTCATTCATAGCACAACTACTGTTGAATTCCCCACCAAAAGTGGTAAACATATTATGCAGCCGAGGTTTGAATTCGCAACCTTTTCAATTTGCGAGTCGCTCGCGCTGCAGCTGAGCCACCTGGCTGGTTCTGGTTAATGCCGCAGGTGTGTTCACCGTAACAATGCGTGCCGCCTGTTTCACATTGGACGTAAAAGAACCCGTGACGGTGTTGGGAAAAAAAGAGTAGGCCACGGTTCAAATTGCCAAATAAGAAAAATTGCTTGCAATTTCTTAAATTGGCAACACGTAACAATTATCGCCCCCAACTGCATTATCTCGCTGGACCTTACTGATTTTCTGGGTAAACAAATTTAATAATAATAATAAACATCATAAATATTACATTTTGATTTAAAGCTTTCGTGACTGCAGGGATTCATGTTCTTGGTTCTTTCGGTAAAGTGACGTCGAAGGGAAACAATAAAATAAATATAAAATTAATATATAAAACAATCAAATTCTCACGACGTTTCGACTGCAACACAAGCAATCTGATGATGATTGCTTGTGTTGCAGTCGAAACGTCGTGAGAATTTTATATTTTTACATTTATTTATTGTGTTCTTGTTTTCCTTCTACGTGACTTTACCGAAAGAACCAAGAATATCATAAATTATATTAAAGTAATTAAATAATGATTCCGCAAACTTTCGAAATGTGTTTGCGCTCGCGGCGATCATTATTTTCTTTCGTGAGCACGGTTAGTGAAATAAGATCTGCTTTGTTTTATTTGAATACGAGACGGTGTCATTGTAGTGATGAAATTATGTTTAGAAACGTATTGCCACATCGCTTAGGTCACGTGTCTGTTTGCCTACGCGGTGTGATGTCGTTTTTTAAAAAAATGAATTAATTTAACAGCACGTGTGAGCCAGAGGTGGGACAAAGTCATTGTTATGCAAGTCCAAGTCGAGTCTCAAGTCATCAAATTCATGACTCGAGTCTGACTCGAGTCCAAGTCACATGACTCGAGTCCACACCTCA